CTTTCTCATTTTGGCTTTCAAAATCCACCATTTCTATCATCTTGCTTCAGTCTTATTTCCCATTACTTCCTTTAGGCATCTCATAATCTGAGTGAACTGGTTTTCTCTCAGGTCCCACATCTCAAATTATGCTGTCTGTCTGGAACGCCCTTTCTCACCCACCTTTATTTGTTCAAATACAGAAATCTCAGTGTCTCATTCTAAATGCTTTTTCTATAACATCCTCCTGAAATATTCCATGTCCCCAACAATTGACCTTAACTGCTTCTCCCTCCGAATTTCCATAGTATTTTCTCTGTATACCTCTTCTTTGAGGTTATATCGAGGTTCTGTTTTGTTTTGTTTTTTTTTGTTTTGTTTTGTTTTGTTTCATTTTGTTTTTAAGCCTAATACTTATAAATTGAAAAGTTCTTTTCAAGAATAAAGATTATGAAATTATAAACACAATATTAGAAACAAGGCCTTGGAAGTGGTTTGGGCAAATCAAGTTCTTTGATTACTTTTTTGTTAGCTTCAAAATATACCTGCCTCAAGTCTCTCTGGATCTCACATTTCCTCTTTCAGATTGTCATGTTCTGTGACAGTCTCTCTCTTTCCTCTCTCCAGTTCTGATTCTTTCCCCTTCTTCTTTTAAGGAAGTAGTGATATCTGGTGAAAAAGTGCTTTGAAGTCATACAGATCTGGGTCTAAGATCCCTGACTTCTCACTCACTTAACTGAACCTTTGTTTCCTCCATTATGTAAAACAAAGGTAATAATATGTCCTGTATAATGAGAGCTAAATAAAGCTCTTTAAGTAGTGTTTAAGACATGATAAGCTCTCAATAAACATTAGTCCCCTCTTTGGAAACCTATCATTCCTAAATATTAAACATGATCCACATAGCCTTATGTGAACAATTTTCAACTCTCCCAAAGTAGCTAGATAGAGAGCGTCTTGCTTTGAGTAGTTACTGAGTACACATGGCCTATTGCTACACATAGGTTCACAGAAAATGAAATACCTGAGCTTGTTGCTTTCTTTCCCACTTTATAGCACCTCTGATTGCTACTCTCACATTAGGGGAATTGTCTACAGTCATAAGAATGCTGCAAATTCTGTCATTCTATCAGGGGTTGGTAGAATTTAATTCAGTGGGTAAATGAACATCAGTAAAGCAAAGAGATGGGAGGATGTAAGGAGAAAGCAATTAATTTAACCAAGGTTTTCAACCCTGGATTTTTGTTTTGTTTTGTTTTGTTTTGCTATAGGGTGCGTGCACTCGCCAGAAAGAGAGAGATAGAAAGCAAGAAATCACCCCCCCCCAGGGGGGGATGGCCACACTGCAATCCCTTCTCCTCCATTCTCCTCTTGGGATTTTGGGCACACACACACACACACACACACACACACACTCAAGCGTGCCTGGCGTGAGTTTAAGCCACTGGGTCCAGGACTTGAACTGTGGTCGGCTACATGGGAGTTCAGCAACATAGCCATTATGCTAACTGCTGGTCCCTCACCCTGGTTTGTTTAACCTCTCTGTTGCTCTTATTGATAAGGATGATAGCACTTTTGGCATCTATTCTGATCGCCCCAAAAGAAGGGCTGTGGTATTTCATGCTGATGTATAAAGCAAAGCAGAGTACTTAATTATGGTTTTTCTAATGCAAAGGAGAGCCAAGGCAAATTATTAATTTTATGTAGTTCCAAAGCATCATGAACATCCCAATTCAATAATAAAGCAAAAGCATCAAAAATTTCATAGATTTCATTAGGTCTCTAATAGAACCCAATTAACCACAAATATCTCCATTCTAATACTAGGGGAGAAAAATCAATTGAAAACATAAAAATTTTGGATCTATGCACATTTCAAACTATTTTTCCTTAGGAAAATAACAGAATACAACATATCCTATTTTTGATGAACAAAAATATACCTGAGTCTGAACACAAAATTCACTTATGTTTCAAATACATCTATACACACAGCCTGAAAGTGAATTTATGCAATATTGGTATATTATACCTTTTTTTTTTTTTTGGAGAGATTTTCGCTATAGGGCACGTGCGCTCGCCAGACAGACAGAGAGAGACATTAGAGACAGAAAGTGAGAAATCACACCCCAGGGGGTATGGTCACGCCGCAATCCCTTCTCCCCCATTCTCCTCTCGGGATCTTGGGCACGCACGCACACGGGCCCAGTGTGAGTTTTAAGCCACCGGGTCCAGGACACAAACCACGGTCAACTATGTGGGAATCCAGCGACATAGCCATTACGCTAACTGCTGATTCTCTATTATACCATTTTGAAGTGATGGTCATATGAGGTCAGGCATGGAATTTTTCACTATAGTATCATCTAGGCACTAAAAAGTTTTGGAACTTGGACCACTTTGTATTTTGGAATTTGGAGTTAGAAATGTTCAATCTCTATGTTAATTTTTCTATGCTAACTATAAGACAGAAAAATTAGTCCACATTTTTGGTGTTCCAGTTCAAGCCACTTAGCATGGCACATGGGGTCTTTTTGCACATCCTAAGTCTTTCAGAACTTTGTCCAATGCATTCATTAAATGTTTATTAAATATTCTGAAACCTATAGACAAAAGCAAGTGATAATAGTCTGTTCCTAGATCAGTGTTAATGATGTAGCCTAATCTTTATCAACTATAAGTCTATATATTTTTCAAATCTCTATTTGAAATTAACCACAAAGACATAAAGTTTTTAAATAAAGTTTTTATAAGAATTGGCTATTTTTATCCTAGCTCAATAAAAAATGAAAATCATTCAAAAATATTACTATTTCTATCTTTTGGTTTGTCGGAAAAGTCACAATGCATTTTTACATAGAAAAATACATTATGACTTCTCTGATGATTTAATAGATTTATAGACAATATTAAACTAAATGTACAGAGCACGAAGTATATAAAGAATGACCATCTTCTCCAAGAATCAATTCTAAAAATAGTACATATTGAGTGTCCTCTATGTGTTAAACCCAGTGCTGATATCTATATAAATAGCCAAATAATTCACATTACTATTTCAAAGTAAAGCAGTTATTTTTGCTTAGAAAGTAATAAAATTAGTGCTTAGTAAATAATCCTTGTTAAGCAAGTAATTGTTGCTTAGCAATAATTTTGAAAAACAAAAGTAAGCAATTTAGTTCTTAATGGAAACTCCCAAAAAATTAAAACTTGAAAAAAGATAAGAAAAAAAGGTACTACTTTTTGACAGAGTCTAAATTAGATAAAATTTAAGAAGATTGGGCCAGTTGGTGGCATGGTGGTTAAAGCAGCTGAATCCCACATGGCTAACTACACAATTCAAATCTTGGACTCGGGAGCTTGGAAAACATGCCAGGCAAGTGTACGTGTATGTTCAAAATCCTGAAAGGAAAATGGAAGAGAAAGGACTGCAGTATGGCCATTCTCCCTGGCGGAGTGCCTACTCATTTTCTTTTCTTTTCTTTTCTTTTCTTTTCTTTTTTTCTTTTTCTTTTTTTTTTTTTTTTGCTGTCACGTGCACTCGCCAGACAGAGAGAGACAGAGAGGCAGAAAGCAAGAAATCACCTCCGAGGGGGGATGGCCACGCTGCAATCCCTTCTCCTCCATTCTCCTCTCGGGATCTTGGGCACACACGCACATGCGCCCGGCGTGAGTTTTAAGCCACCAGCTCCAGGACATGAACTGCGATCGACTACATGGGAGTCCAGCAACATAGCCATTACGCTAACTGCTGGTCCCTTATTATTGTTTTTTGGGGGGAGGGGAGAGGTGGTTTTTTTTTTTTTCATTTTCTATCTCTTTTTCTTTCTCTCTCCAGTGAGCACACGTGTTCTATAGCAAAATTTTTTTAAAAGGAAAATTTAAGAAGATATTAATATGAAGTCAGTAGTAAATTATTCCTTTTCCTAAAAGATATTTTCAAGATGAAAAATCTAAAACATCACCCAACCATATCACCTAGCCTATTCTAAATGCTACTTGACAGACTGAAGCTACATGGGAAGCCCAGGTTAGTTTCCTGGCTCACCCTAAAAAAAGCCAGGTTTGGTGGTGCATGACTGTAGTCCCAGCTACTCAAGGCCAGCATGGGCATAATAGTGAGTCTGAAAAAAATCAGATAGACACCCATGGTTCCACCTACCCATGAGGCTGAGGCAGGAGAAAAACAACTTAGCAAGATTGAAATTTAAAAATACTACACACACACAAAGCTTTAAAAAAAAGGAAAAAAGAAATTAAAAAAACTAAAACTTTGGTTTATTTAATAGCTTCTTTACTTAGTAACTTAGCAGTTAATTAGACATTCTGCACGTATAATGACACTTAAAATGTACCTATAGGCCTAACAGTAGTAGCATGTGCTGGCTGATGCTGCTACTCAGCAGGCTGAGGCCAGATGAGAGGCCCAGGTTCAATTACAATCCACTCTAAAGGCAGGGTCTGATAGCTCATGCCTGTTGTCCCAGCTACTTGGAAGGCTGAGGCAAGAGGTTTACAACATCATGAGACCCAGCCTAAAAATCAAAAATGAAGAGACCAGCAGATGGCATAATGGTAATGTCACTGGACTTCCACAAGGCTGACCATGGTTCAAGTCCTGGACCCAGAGGCTTGAAATTCATGCTAGGCAAATGTGTATGCATGCTCAAAATCCCAAGGGGAGAATGAAGGAGAAGGGACTGAGGTATAGCCATCCTCCCAAGGGAGTGATTTCTTACTTTCTGTCTCTCCAGTGAGTGCACATGCCCTATAGTAAAAATCTAAGAGTAAATAAATAAATAAATACTATGCACCTATTATAAATATTCAGGCCTCAGTACATTGAATTTCATATAAAAAAAAAAGACTTCATGTAATAATAGCCTAAAATGTGTATGTTCAATATTAGTTCCAGTCTAAACGTAATAGCATTATAAATAAATGCTAAGACATTGCTTTACACTGCTGGGATTCACTTACTGAGCATAGGTCTAACAAAGCAAGCAATGTTTAAAGCTCACCCTCTGGCCAGGACTTATTGAGAAGGAAATGTTCTCTAGTATGGCATTGCCACTATCTGTATATTTTGCTGTGAGGTCTTTGACGATCATTTGCCCCCCTGAGGGCCAGATGTAATCTTTCTTCACGTGTTGATTCTCAATAATCATGATTTTTGAGAGCTGGCCATCATCTTTGGACGGTTTGATTGACTTGGTAGGTTTACTTTCTTCTGTTGGCATGTCAATAAACTTAAAGACTCGGCTCACAGATCGCATCTGAAAGAAAAATAACTATATGTTATTTTCATTTGTTTAAAAACTGCAGACAATGTCATAATTAGTTTGATGTTTTCTAAAGAATGTCACACTGGATACTTGTCATAGGTTAGTCGGGTTTTTCAATGAATGACAGGAAATAATTGGATATAATTAAGAGCTTAACCAAAGAGAATTAACTTGGTCTTATATAAACGGACTCTGTATAGACCTGTTTATTTTTGTGATCATTTAATTCTCAGTTATGTAAGTCACACATAAATAACCAAACTATTCTCAAGGGAATAAACGATGTCAAAAGGAAAAATTTTTTTCTGCCATGAACTGGACTCTACAATGCTGTATAACCGGTATATTATAATAAAATGTACCACACCTTAAAACCACTACTGATTTTTGCTTTTCTCTGGAACTACCTTAATAACTAACTATAATTCTATATGTCAGCTGGGTGGTAAGTAGACTCCTGATGATTAGTCAATATTGAATAACTTCCAAATACCTTCAAACAGAGACCAGCAGATGGCATAATGGTTACATCGCTGGACTCCCACATAGTTGACCATGGTTTGAGACCTGGACCTGGTGGCTTAAAACTCATGTCAGGTGCTTGTGCATGCATGTCTAAGATCCTGGGAGGAGAATGGAGGACAAGGGATTGCGGCATGGCCATCCCCTCATGGGAGGGTGATTTCTTGCTTTCTGTCTTTCTGTCTCTCTCTCTGTCTCTCTGGTGAGCACATGCGCCCTATAGCAAAAATCTCTTTTAAAAACAATCTTCAAACTAAGTCATCAGCTTGTATGTATAGCTAAATGTATCTGAATTATTTAATTAATTTCCAAATTAATAATTTTATAAGTCAAAATATTATATTAATAATAATGCAAAGAAAAATGGGACTGCATAAAAAGATTAAATTTGAAATTTAAAATTTATCTGCTTTATACATTTAATTGTGTAACATTTAGTAAAGTATACCTTTAATGTACACAGAAATAAACTTAACTGTTTTTTAAAATTGTTTAGTTAAGTTCTTTAACAAGAATATATTTCTCTGAATAATTATGATTTATTGAAAAGTTACATCGCTGGACTCCCACATAGTTGACCATGGTTTGAGACCTGGACCTGGTGGCTTAAAACTCATGTCAGGTGCTTGTGCATGCATGTCTAAGATCCTGGGAGGAGAATGGAGGACAAGGGATTGCGGCATGGCCATCCCCTCATGGGAGGGTGATTTCTTGCTTTCTGTCTTTCTGTCTCTCTCTCTGTCTCTCTGGTGAGCACATGCGCCCTATAGCAAAAATCTCTTTTAAAAACAATCTTCAAACTAAGTCATCAGCTTGTATGTATAGCTAAATGTATCTGAATTATTTAATTAATTTCCAAATTAATAATTTTATAAGTCAAAATATTATATTAATAATAATGCAAAGAAAAATGGGACTGCATAAAAAGATTAAATTTGAAATTTAAAATTTATCTGCTTTATACATTTAATTGTGTAACATTTAGTAAAGTATACCTTTAATGTACACAGAAATAAACTTAACTGTTTTTTAAAATTGTTTAGTTAAGTTCTTTAACAAGAATATATTTCTCTGAATAATTATGATTTATTGAAAAGTTGGAATATGATTTTTAAAGAAGCCTGGTGTATATCAGGTACCAAGTAAATATTTAAACAGTTAATAAGTGACTGAAAGATTAAATATATGAATTAGCAAATATAAGTGAACAAATCAATAAAACTTAGAAGATTTTAAATTCACTCAGTTTTTATTTTTAAAAGATATCATCATTTAAAGTGATGTCACCCTTCCCGGATATCAATTGCTTATTAGACAGAATTTTATTGCTTTTTAAAAGTCTTAATAGTAATTTTGCCATTTGGCCACTTTTTTTTTCCCTTTAATTTATAGTTTTATTCAGTTGAGAATTTAACCTTCTTTACAATGTTAACTTGTTTTATTTATAGCTAAGGCTTAAAAGTGATTCCTTTTAGAAAAAAAGAAAAAGTAGACAGGAATGAATTAGGGGCCTTTGCTTCTATTATTCCTATTTTTAATTATCAAAAGGTGAAATTAGAAACATTCTTCATCTTTAGTATTGAATGATTGGTGGATAAAGCAGAGGATTTCTGTCTTAAAAATTTCAATTGTGTTGCCCATTTTCACATGCTACTTGTCAAATTTGCTCTGTTTGTGAGGTTCTTTCTTCTTTATAGCGATTCTATACTTCAGTTTCCTTTATCTTGAAAATAATCTTTGCATTATCTTCAAATTATTCAAGATTCAAGAAAAGAATCCTTTTAAGCTTACAGTTATTGGGAGTGAAATGGGCTCAAGGTTCACAACCATGATAACTCTAGAGGGAGCAAAAGGCATACAATCACAATTGTTTTCACATATAATATTTGAAATTCTGAATTATGAATGATCTTAAGGGACTATTAAATCCTGATTCAGTTATTCCTTTTTAAAAAGAATTATTTTATTTAACTTTATTTATTTATTTACTTATTTTAATTTGACCAGAGAGGGACAGAGCGAGTGAGCAAGAGAGAGAGAGAGAGAGAGAGAGAGAGAAAGAAAGTGGGAAAGCAAGCCTCCCGTCCAAGACTCAAGCCGTGGCTGCCCATGTGGGAGTCCAGCACCCTTAACCACCACGCCACCTGCCAACCCCCTGATTCAGTTATTCTTGATTAATTTTTACTTAAATCATACTCTAGTATTTCACTGTAGTTAATTTTGATAGAGAGCTACTAGTCTATATCCTGTCTGAAAGATAAATTAGAACTGCAATTTTTGTTGAGAATAAATTACCAGAGGACTAGCTCAAATGCACTCAAAATACCTTATTAGAGGCCAGCAGGTAGCATGGTGGTTAAGGGTGCTAGACTCCCACATGGCTGATCATGGTTCGAGTCCCAGACCTGGTGGCTTGCTTTCTCACTCTCCCTCCCCTTACTCTGGTCAAATTAAAATTAACTAAATTAAATTAAATTAAATTAAATAGTTATAAACAGAAAAATAAAAGAAAACATGTTATTGTATTTATTCTGTGTAAGAATCACATCTTTCTCTTGAAATGATTCAGAGAAATATACAAATGTAGCTTAACTTTATAAATTAAAGTTGAGACTGGTGGTCATTTCCATGAATCAATTCTGAGAAGAATTCTAAACTAGTCTTTGTTTCAAATTTTAGTATATGAAGATAGACACTCTAAAAAAAATCCTTTATACTTTAATTTTTCTAAGTAATCAATAATACATTTAAACACTGCTATTAAACTTAAAATTTTATTTAGTGTTAATAGAAAATAAGGACTTTCAAAACCAGTATTTCAGCACCACAATGTTATAATTTTTTTTTTTTTTATTGTTTAAGGACTTGTGTTAGAGCACTGCAACTTAAGTTTTCTATTAGTAAGGCTCACCACTGAGGTTGTCAAATGGAGTAAAAAGAATATACCTATCACATTTGGAAGATGAAATTTTCTAACTTGTCCTCTTTCAGATACACTACTTACTTATGTGACCTTAGATGGGCTACTCTAGTGACCTAAAGTATGGTCAACCATCCCTGACCAAAAACATGTTACTTCATCTTAACAATGGGCGTTCATCCACAGCATATGAACAGACATTAATTCAATTCAATGGATCAGAACATTCTCTGACTGGAAGAAAAAGTGGCTAGTGTAGACACCTGCATCATGGACAACTTTGTAGCCATTGAAATGCCATTACTGAATAGATGATGTGACCAGATGATATTATGAATTATTAACCAATTCCTTGGACCTTACTGGCTCTCCAGCTTGGACATTCTACCTTCACTGCCTCTGGAAGAAGCCACACAAGAACTAGAGCAGAGAAAATAAATTCTAGTCTTTCCGGTTTCAAAAGCAGTTTTTGGGGGCCCAGACAGTAGTACAGGAATCACATAAGTGGACCCATGTGGACCCACCATAGAGGGTTCTGTGTTTACATCCTTATACACATCAGGTTCGTGTGCACATGCCTGTGATAAGAGGTGACCAAGGCTGGGGATGGATGGAAGTGTGAAAACCCTGTTGGGGACATCAGGTTATCTCCACCTCTGTCTCTTTCTCAGAAGAAATTAAAAAAAAAAAAAAAGGAAAGAAAAAGAAAAAGAGAAAGAGAAAGAAGAAAGAAACTTTTAAAAGTGATTGACTTTTGAAATTCAAGTGAGACTCTGGCAGTTTGAAATTTCTAAGCCATATGACTATTGGCTTGTAAGATTCAAAACCCCAAATCTGAAGGATGCAAAGCATAGTGGTTATGTGGCTTGCTTTCTCACTCTCCCTCCCCTTACTCTGGTCAAATTAAAATTAACTAAATTAAATTAAATTAAATTAAATAGTTATAAACAGAAAAATAAAAGAAAACATGTTATTGTATTTATTCTGTGTAAGAATCACATCTTTCTCTTGAAATGATTCAGAGAAATATACAAATGTAGCTTAACTTTATAAATTAAAGTTGAGACTGGTGGTCATTTCCATGAATCAATTCTGAGAAGAATTCTAAACTAGTCTTTGTTTCAAATTTTAGTATATGAAGATAGACACTCTAAAAAAAATCCTTTATACTTTAATTTTTCTAAGTAATCAATAATACATTTAAACACTGCTATTAAACTTAAAATTTTATTTAGTGTTAATAGAAAATAAGGACTTTCAAAACCAGTATTTCAGCACCACAATGTTATAATTTTTTTTTTTTTTATTGTTTAAGGACTTGTGTTAGAGCACTGCAACTTAAGTTTTCTATTAGTAAGGCTCACCACTGAGGTTGTCAAATGGAGTAAAAAGAATATACCTATCACATTTGGAAGATGAAATTTTCTAACTTGTCCTCTTTCAGATACACTACTTACTTATGTGACCTTAGATGGGCTACTCTAGTGACCTAAAGTATGGTCAACCATCCCTGACCAAAAACATGTTACTTCATCTTAACAATGGGCGT